CAACCCTCAAGAGCTGCACCGAGGGAACCCTGGCCACACAGATAGGAGTGAGGGCAGCTCACAGGCCAGCCTGGCTGCAGGGCCGCAAACGGGCCCACGCCTCTGAGTGTGTGCAGTAGCTATGGGTGGGGCCGGGAGGGGGGTTAGAGGAGGGGAAAGGGCAGCCTGAGCGCCGGCAGCCGGGTCCCAGGGCTCCGCCTGAGCAAGTGTTCTGCCCGAGGCTGTGAGGCCTCCACAGGGCTGCCTCTCTCGCTACTGCTGGTGAGCAAATCTGTCTGCTGCCGAATGAGCGGAATGCGGAGCCTGATGAAGTTCCCTCTTGGGGGAGACTTGATGTGAGGCCAATGGAAAGTCAAAACAAAGACAATGATCATTTTGATCATTTTATTCAGCCAAAATGAAAATGAATCTGGGAAATGAATCCTTTGTGCAAAAGCTCTCAAATAGATGTTTTCCAAGCAGAATTGAAACTTGGGATCCAGGCAACAGAGCCTTCTGGCGCCTGGTTTTCTCTGGTTCAGACATCGCCTGGCTTCTCCTCTGACAGAGTCCTGGGCTGTTGCAGAGTGGCCCGTCCTTCGGGTCAGTGTGGCTGTCAAAGGTAAGGGCAAGCCACAGCAGAGCCTGGCTCGGCGCTAAGCCACATGCGTGTGGCACCCTTGATCCAGACTTAAGACTTGGAAATGGACTCAAGCAGGCATCTTGCTTTAAGGCCGCCCTGTGCATGTTCTTGGCAAATTGATCTCCAGCCAGAGGCAGGTATGGAAGTTCTGCAGTCCAATCTCCTCCAGCTGCACACATAACCTTCTTAAATAGTAGAATTGAGTACCCCCCCGCCCCCGAATAAGTTCAATTAAAATAGAGAGAAAAGTGCAGGAACTGACCTAAGGCCCCATGAACAGCTTTTCAGGAGAACTGAAAACACCTAGACTCCCTGACACAGTGAGGCCTGATGCTTCCACCACCCCTGCTGCTTTGTGGGGCTGTGTGGCAGACGGCCTCCTTCTCTTGTACAGCAGGAGAGACTGTACCCGCTGAGGCTTAGGAAGGAGACAAGGACTTACCAACCAACCAGCCCCTTCCCGCAACTTGGTCTGGGTCTGGCCCAGGACACACCACCTCCCACTGCTCATAACCCAAAAGCAAAAGACTCTGGAGCTTGGCCCACTCTGTTAACCCTTCTGGGAAAGGAAATTCTGAATGTGTAAGAGAAGAGGACGCCTAAGTCCCTGGAATGGCAAGATCTGAAACATGTCTTCAGGGAGAATCTGACGGGATTCTCAGGGGTGATTTGAACTGCCCCTTCGGCCAGGGCACAGCCCTTGGCTTCACAGTGAAACTCTACCTGATGCAACATCGGACGGTTTTATTTTTTAAGGAAAGTCGTATGTCTCTGCAATACTTTCACTTATCACCTCGAATAGATATTGACTTTTCAAATGACAGGATTCATGTGAATGACTTTAAAAAAAAAACATTATTCATTCAGTGAATCCCAAATGTGAGCAGGGGCTAAGCTAGGTACTGGGGTACAAGGGAGAGTGGGCTGGGTACAGATGTATCCCTCAAGGAGATGCATTTAAAATTAAACAGGGCTTCAAAACACAGGTTGTTTTTTATTCAGAAACAAATACACTGCCTAAAATAAAGAACTGTGTATCAATTGAAGACTAAGCAGGAAAAACAAAAGGCAAGGAAAGGCAAGTAGGCCTGTGTGGGGCTAAAGCTGGTCTTTGAGCTGAGCCAGGGAACTGATTAGCCCAGGTTTACCAGGGCTAAAGCTGTTAGCTGCAGTCCAGTGGCCTTGAAGGAGCCCTTCTGTGGGGACAGAGCGCCATCTACTGGTGGTGTAGCCTCGGCACATGCCGCTCAGGCGGAAAGGAGGGTGCCCTCCCTCCCCCTGAGAAATCGGGTTGAACTGGCATTAAGGTACACTGACAAATGCCAGAATCCAATCCTATGTTATCATGTGATACTCACCCTGTGAAGGAAATATTGTTCTCACTATTTTGCTGACGCTCAACCCCTCATTAACAATCTGGGCCTCTGATGAGTAAATCTGCTGCTGCTTCTGAGGTTCGAAGTAAGTAGAGGGCAGGGTCCCTTGTCTGTGTGACTGAAAAGGAGCATTAACGACAAGATGGCCCATTTCCCTGAGGTCCCTGGAGCTGGCTCCCTGACATTGGAGACTGAGACGGCCCTCCTGAGGTTGCATTTCAAGGAGAGGAGACAGGGAGGAAGAAGAGGATAGTGAAAATGGAATCTGGAACCTTGGGTATTCCAGAGGAGCAGTCACTGTGAGCGACCATGTCCTTTAAAAAATAAAAATAAGAATAATAAGAGTTGCTAAAGATATCACGCTGCCTAAGGGAAGAGAGGGGAGCCTCATTTGGCGAGTGCCCACAGCATGCAGACAGTATCTAATCTTCACAATGACCCAAAGATGGAGACATACAGGGCTCCATTTTACAAATAAGTAAACTGAGGTCCAATGTCGCATGGTTAGAATGTTCCCTCCTATGTCCTCCTCACTTTAGTTCCTGCTGGATTTTGTACCCGCTCTGTCCTTAGGACACTGGCCAAGAGGTGGTAACCCGCGACTGGGACCAGCGACCCCAGAGGGCCATCTTCCCCGAGCTCTTGGTGCTCGACACATGGGTTTCTCCTCCTCAAAGCCAGAGAGAGCTGGCCCCCGTCTATCTGCCCATAACTTATGAAACACTTTTCCTCCTTTTTTCTATTATGCATATAAATACATCTATTGCACTGGAGAAATGTCGGATTGAAAATTCTGGAGGCTAAAATCATTTCTCTAGCCCAGCGTGAGAGCAGCAGGAAAGCTGTGCTGTTTGCAGTCAGCTGCTGACTGCCCTGCCCAGGCCCTGCCTGCAGTCTGGAAGGTTCTTTTAGGTGATAGGATTTTTATGCAAAACACGAAAGGGGGAACAATTTTTAAACAGGGCTGAAGAAAAACCATATATTTTAGCCCCTCTTGTACTGTCCTTTTCTCTCACCAGTGAGAGTTATTTTTTTTCCTGAGATTTTGAAAGCCTAGGGCAGGGCTTACTGCATTATGCTCTGCCTGCTTGGCAGGACCGTGGTCAGCCCAGCCCCCTGGACTCCCTGACCTCGCCTGTCTGGGTGCCTGAGGACCGATTCCTCACTCCTCCTTCACCGGACTCCTGGTATGCACACTTCCCACTTGTCTCAGTCATGGAATTGCTGATATCCATGACTTGGACCTTCAGCACGACCCTTTCTTGACCCTTTCCCAGTCCATCCTGACCCCTCCCTCCCCATGCCCTAGAATGACAAGAGATGGGAAAGATATATTAGGGTGGGGAGATGGCTTTGCCCCTGATCTGCATTACTCACTGTGGGGGGTGTTGGAGGAAATTGTGGGGTTCAGGTCTGCAGGGCACAAGGCTTCTCTGAGTTGCCTCAGTGATCAAAAGACTCGGGGACAAGAGAAACACGTGAGTGGCATAGGAGGGCAGTTCAGACCACCAGGAAGTCAGACTTAATTTGGCCCATCTGCACCAAACAAAACCATCACACTGTGGCCCAAGTCTCAAGAATGGGCTGACGATAACACCTTCCCAACCACGACCGCCCCCCACCACCAAAAAAAACCCAAAATGGCCTTCATGAACCAATGTAGTGATATTTAATTAAAACAACTATTTACAATGGCAGGATCTTAAAACAGAGATACTGATATATAAATGGACATAAGAATCTTTTGAAGATTATAAATACATGCTGATCATTTATAAAATCAGTAATACTTCATATATCTGGCACTTTATGGCAAATCAGTTTACATTTCATCATTTAGAAGACATAAAGATTTCGCTCGATAAAGCTCTTTTCCACCTCCCTAAGGTTTGAAAGGGTTCCCTCCTTCTCCATCAGTAGCCCTCTATTGGGCTGTGAAATTTCTTTTAGTTCTGCCAGTGGGCACACTTTTATCCTGACATTGAGCCTTCTCTTTTAGCCTGCTAAGGACTTGGAAATGAGATAGTCATGTTCGTTAGAATGGTGTGTAAATGAGGAAGATTGAATTTCAATGGATGGCGGTAAGATGCCCACCTATAAGGAAAATGCATGGGCTTTGGGAGATGGCCTTCGTTCTGGTTTTCCACCTGGGTCGTGGATTGGTGGGGATGCTATGAAAGTGAGGTGTCACTGTAGTTCAGAAAATCAGATATACTGGGCATCCGCTGATTAACTCTATGGGTTTGCTCTTCTTTGATGTAGGCACAGGGAGGCTTTCTGGACTAATTTGAAATGGATCTGTTGGTCCATAAATCAAGTGAGCAGACTGACACTCGTCACATACAGGAAGCCCTTTGAGAACTCAGGTGTTTTAAATCAACTGGTCCTCCACCACCCCAAATCCAATCATCTGGAGATATTGTCAGAAGACCACCCAGTGACCTCAGGTGCCAGAGCCAGCTCATCCTACCTGAACCCTGCCTATTCTTGAAAGCTCAACATATCCCCAGCCCCTACTCAAATGGTTGAAACTTAGCCTGTGCCTTCACCAATTTACAGATGTTGGCACAATTCATCTAAGAACATAGCATTTCCTCTTCAGATCTTGAAACCTAGAGTGTTACCCCAAACGTGATGACACTCAGCCTGTCTAAGGTCACTTAAATTGGACAGCCCTGGGGGCAGTGTTGTACAGAGGTTAAGACACCAACTCTGGAGTCGTATTGCTTAGGCCACATCAGGTGACATCCCTGCTTGGGACAAGGTTGTAGCCACAGGGAGCAAGAGCTGATCTTTACAACTCCAAGGCAGTCCTGGCTACCTCCCTCTTCTTTCTGCATAATGGCCACTCAAAGGGCAGATCTACAGAAGAGGAGTCTTCCCAACTGGAGACATGGGCCTGAAGAACAGTAAGTGAGTTGAGCATCAGTTTTGTCTCAGCCTATGGTTACCATGGACCATGTGGAGGGTCCTCAGTCAGGGCAGATGACACTCCAGCCTTCTCAGGAGTACATAATCATCAGCAGCCACTGCACAGAATGGGGAAGCAAATTATGGTCAGTTTAGCCCAACCCCTGAAATTCCATTAAAGGGGTTTCATTTCTCAGTCACCAGGTCCCAGTGCCTGACACAGGAGTTGGGGCTCCCTCCCCCTCACTCCTGGGAAAGCCATGGAGACAGGATATTAATGGATGGTTTAGCCAGAGGGGCCACACCATCTGGTACTACGTTTATAAATCAACCTGAAATATAATCAACCTTGACTTCTCATGGTGCCTGAGAATGAATGATGATAGCCAAGATACAGGCTGATTCTGTATTCAATTCTCAGTGCCTTTTTGCCCCCGTGAATTCAATTTGGCATGCTCGTGACAGCTGTGTGTGCAGGTATATGGACCGACCAGGTAGCAGAAATCCATTAGAGCATATTCTACATGTTTACATTTATAGACCCATTTGTCTGACAGTTTTATGTGGGTATGATGAAGAGTCCCTCTAATTCACACGGAGGGCACTTCTGGAGAAATCACTTCCCGGGCTAATTATATCCCAATGATAATGGGATGGTCATCGGATGGTGACGATGAAGATGATAATGGTGAAGTAAGTTACCAACGATGTCGAAGAAAACCCCAGAGTGAAATTCCGACAAGTTGGCTGCCACTTCTTATAGAACTCCTTGGATGGCCCTGAGGATCTCCTCCTCATGAAACCAGAAATGGTCAGAGATAGAGGTGATTTTAGGGAGCACCCAGCCCAGCCCACACACTGAGATTTAACATGATTTGCTAGTCACTAGAGTGCAGTGGGTTCAACCAGGCCTCAGTCCAATCTTCCTCCCATTGTAGCACCTTGGGCTGCTAGCCTGCTCAGGCTGTGGGCGGTCTTGTTTCAACTGCACATTCATGTCGTCCTGCTCGCTCAGCTCTGAGCCTGTGCTGTGGAAGGATTGCTTGAGAACAGGAGGTGACCTTGGGGATCTTGGGTGGGGATTGGCTCAGAAGAGTCTAACCATTGCTCCTCCAGCTGAATCTCACGTTCACACTTGAACATGGGAGCCATTGAGGGGAGACACAGGCTGAGGGTTCCTCTCTCGGGAAGATATTCCATAAAATGGACATTTGAGGTCAAAGAAGAGGCTCAGCGTTTAGTAGGTGCTTTCTAAGCAACCCAAACAGAGGATGGGCTTCAGAAAGAAAGAACAGATCCCAGGCTCCAATGCCTTTGCAGCAAACGCCCCCTAGCACCACATCTGGCACAGAGCAGATGCTCAGTACACCCATGCAGTTTCAATGACCAAGGACAACAGCTGGTGTCAGGCACAGATTTGTCTTCTCCTCAGCCTATCACCTCATCCACTCAACAAACATTTGTCAAGCACCTACTTCGTGCAAAGCACTGCATGAGGTTCAAGATAAGGGCTCAGAGACTTGGTTAGAATCCCTTCCCATATGGGGAAGGCTAAGTCAGATCTTGAAATAAGGTTTATTTCTGGCCTGCATGTCCTGATCTTCCAAGACTCACTCTGAGCCAGTTTTCCCATTGTCTATATTCCAGCCAGGATTGAACTTGCTGTTCCTTCTAGCCTGGGCCTTTCCTACTCTCCACTATGCCTTCCTGGCTCCTTCTTATCTTTCAGGTTTCGACTTCTATGTCATCTCCTCCAGTAAAGCCTTTGCGGAACATGCTACCTAATCCAGCTCTCCTATGACTGTCTGTGCTCAAGTTCATTGTTGGCCTAGGCCTTCACCCTCTCTGCGTCCATGCCCTCTACAAGTGACTTTAAAGTTCCTCCCATGACAGAGGAGAAGGCTAGTTCTCCGTGTGTTGAAGGGGGCTTGGCCACATGACTCGCTTTGCACAACAAAATGAGCTGCAAGGCACATTGTCCCCAGATGTGGAGCCCTTGCATGTTGCGGTTCACCCCTCTTTGCTCCTGTCATCGTTTTGAGAAAGGCAAGCCTAGCCAGAGCATCCTCAATGAAGGCGTCAGAAAAGCCCCCAGCTTACCCGCAAGCACTAGCCAGCCAGCTGAGATCTGCTGACTCCCAGCATGTGACTAGGAGCTAAATACATGCTGTCATCACCACTGAAGTTGTGTGGATTTGTCACATAGCATTATTGTGGTCATAGTCACTGGGTGCACTGAGTTGGTCTCCTGTTCCCTTCATAGGTGCCTTGCACAGAGTGGGTACCCACTAAATATGTGATGAATATGCAAATAAATATGTAAAGTGAAGTCAGTGCCACATCCTGAACTCAGGAGAATGAAGGGTCCCCCAAACCCTTCTCCATCAGGGGAGTCTGGACCTGCACTGGCCCCCAGTACCCTACATGATGTGATTCGACCCCTGGAGAAAGTCTTACCTCTGGCTTCTGGAGGTATATCCCTTTGCCATCTTGGGTTAAGTTTTGGAAGACACCTGTGAAAATGCAGAAGAAACACAGCTAAAGTATTTTGAAAATATTATGCACTAGTTCCTCCTTATGTCTCCTCACTTGGGAATCCAGTGATGGAAGCACATGTGGCCACACTTATCATAAGTGAGCTACCTCCCACCTTTGCCTCTGGAAAAGGCAGGGTACAAATTAGCCAGGGTAGGTGCAGCCAGGTTTCCCAGGCACGCAGCCAGCGCTCCCCGGAGCCCCTTGGCCTGTTGTTTCTGCACTGGCAGCTGTCCTCCCTCCTGCTTGAACTGGAGGCAGGTGGGCAGTCCATGAGCAGCGCAGAGGAAGCCCTGGCCCTCCCTTCTTCCCGCCAGCTCACTCTCCATCTTCTCCACACGCAGCATCAAGTGGACAAAGTTGACGAAGTCCATCTGGAGTTTGGGGCCACCATAGCGGATAAGCATCAGCTGGTAGACGTCATCGCTGAGCACGACTCCTGCATTGAACACAGACTCCTGCCATGAGTGCTGGGGACTTCATTCCCAGCTCCCCTTTCATCTGAGACCCCTTCAATTGTCCCTCCTCTTCTGGGACCTGGGTCCTGAAAGCATGGGGATCTCCTTTTATGGGCTTCATTGTGAATTGTTTATTTAGTCCATTCATTTTATCTCCACTCCCCACCCCCATCCCCTTAGGCAACCAGCATGAGGATCTTTTTATCAAGTGGGTTACTGGCCTTCAAGGCAGGAGGCAGTCTGTTAGGGGTCAAGAGCATCTGTTTTGGAGCCTGGTGGTCCTGAATTTAAAGCCCAGGCAAGCTACCTAGCTTCCCTGAGCTTCAATCTCTTCCTCGGTAAGGTGGGGATTAGAACAGGGCATTGCTGAAGTTTAAATGCGAATGTGGATGTGTCACTCCTCAATAATTGTTAGCAATGATTTTAGTGATAATAATAAATGCTTCTGTTATTTGTAGATCTATGTGTTTGGATATCTGAACTCGAGGAGTAACTTTGCACATTAGAATATCTCCAGAATGACATGCAGCCACCCCTCACCCCCTATCCATTCGTGCCTTCAGCACCGGCTCCCGCATGCCCACCTAGATTCCTCATGGCAGCCCGCAGCTGTGCCCAGTTCAGGCATCCTGACCTGTTACTGTCATGCTTGTGGAAAATCGCCTGCAAAGAACAAAATGTTAAGCACTCCCTGAGAGCCCCTCTGTCCCCAGTGTCAACCCTGCAGAGGACTGTTCGAGAATGGAGGCTCCATCAGCAGGGTCTGGTACCAGGACAGAGGGTGCATGACGGGACCCCACCGTGTTGCCCATTTCTTCTTAAGGCTTCTGAGAAAGGGGGTGGTCTTTAGGTCACAGGGGATTGAGAGTCTGTGTACACATAAATGGGCTTCAAAGTCCAACCTCTGAAGGGCTTCCAACTTTATGACTCAGGAGACAACGGGGAGAGTTGTGAGTAATGATTAGAAAAGCAGGGAGGAGCCAGTTTATGAAGGACTTTAATGCCATGCTGAAGAGTGTGGACTTCCTCTGAAGGCCATGGGGAGTCTCACAAAGCTTTTGGGAGAGAGTGACAGGATCAGATGTGAGTACTAGAGGTTCAGGCTCTCTGAGTTTGTGAGAGAGAGAAGGAGTCCCATTGGAGGAAGAGCAGAGAAGCTTGGGTGAGTAGTTGGGTTTAAAGCGCTGAAAGGGAGAGAAGTAAGTGCCTCACATACTTCGCAGAATTGCCATTGCTGCAGCATCCTGAAAGATTTGTTCTTACCTGATAGCGAATCAGCTGCTTCCACAGGTCCCTGAATTCCTGGATGCTCACAGTACCTGACGCATTAAGCTGATAGCAGGGTTAAAGTCAAAGCTGCCAGGGGAGCTTCATCTATGCCTCTGGAGGTGGCAACGGGCCCACCACACAGCACTGTGCAATTTGCAGGCAGCCCCGTTCACTGTGGGGTATCTCTGGTGGCCCCCACTTGCTGGCGAGCCCAGCCCGGGGCTCCCTGCCCTTGGGGAAAGGACAGAATGAGCTGCAACGCAGCAGCCCTGGGACAAACTGCTGCTGCTGGTGAATGGTGGCAATGACCACAGCTACTGGTTCCTGAAGCAGGATATTTTGACATGGCCAATTTGATTTGATTTAAATTAAAAGAAAAAAAAAACCAATAACTGTTTTTCATTAGTGTCAAAGCTAAGGTATGGAGTCAGCTGGCTAAGGATGCTTCTTATATTCAGTCATTTTATGAAATGTTAAAAGCTTAATGATTGGCCTTGAGGATCATGTCCCAATACGCTTGCATTAGAGAGACTGGGAAACATGCCACCCTAACAGTGGGACTAGCTCTGAGTTCCTCGCTTTATCGTGTCACTTCATTTTCACCTAGTAGGTGAGGTTGGTATTAACTTGCCCCTGTCATGGATGATGAAATAAGGGCTCAGAGAATCTGATCATGTCCAAGCTCATACAGCTGGTGACAAGGCTGAGACCTGTTCCAATGCCTGTCGCCATCCCACAGGGTCCGTGCCCTCTGCAAAGTTTCTATAAACACTGGTTTGTATTTGCTACTTCACCCACCCACATTCATCCCATGTGCCTATCTGTAGTATGGACAACCAAAGTTCGATTAAAGTGTCCACTTAGACAGGCAGAAGTTTTGCTTAAAAAAAAAAAATTGCTGAGAACCAGGAAAGCTGAGTTTGCAGCAAGTTGTTGAACTTCCTGAGCTTTGATTTCCTGACCTATACATGGAAGCAGCCACTGCCTGGTCACCAAACAGAAAACTTAGGACCCTGAAGCTCTTGTTAAAGTCTCTCGTAAATCTGGAGAATTGTTACTAACCACCACCCTGCAGCTGCCTCCTCCTCACTATCAGACTATTGTTACTAATAGTTAATGTTAGTCACTTTTCCTAGGACAGTTCTGTCCTAAGCACTTTATGCCGCATGTGCCATTTGCATTCTCACCTCGATCCTGCCGACGAGGCTCGAATGCCATCCCCATGCTGCAGATGAGAACCCGGGGGCACGATGAGCCTAAGTGATTTGCCCAAGATGACCCAGCTAGAAAGCACAAGGGTTGGGATTCAAACCCAGGCAGCCTGGCTTTAGGGCAAAGCTCTCAACCAGCAGCACGTGTCTCCCCATGGACAAGAAAGGATACGTCCAGTAGAGCCAGGATCCCCTGGCAGGCATCGAGGCTGAAGAGGGGCTGTGTGCTCCCCAGACCTGTAGAAGAACAGAAACAGTTCATGGGGGCTGGCCCAGGATGGCACCGCATGGCCCTTTTCTGGATGGGACCAGACAGTGCCGTCTAGGCCAGCCACAGGTTCCAATAACCACCATTTGTGTGGGAAGGAAAGGGACAAAGAGCCACGGAGAGAGAGGGAAGGCTTGGTGGTATCTCTACACTCAAATGGCACAGTAAACCCCAGCCATAACCTGGAGTTGCCTATAGAGTGGGTCAGAAGAACGTGGCCCCACGTACCCAGGATGGGCCAGGATCCGAGAGTTATGGACTGAATGAGAGGGGTCTGAGAGGTCATCTTGATTAAGCTCCCACCTAAATTAGAGGGTGCTTTCCTCAGACGTCTTGACAATGGTCGGTGAATAATGGGTGCCCACCTGGATGGCTAGCTCCACGCAGGAGAAACTTCCTATGTGAATTGCAAAGCAAGCTCCAGTAAGATCCACTCGCCCTTCCTCATTCTGCCTCCAGATATCATAGGGCTTTTGTCTCCTCTCAACATTTCTCCAACCGTTCCCCAGGCGATAGGGTTTCTAAACTCTCACTGCCCTCTTCTAGATTCACACTTTGCCAGGTCCTCTCTCAGATTCGACACGAAGCTTGGAACAAACTCCTTCAGAGGCAACTTGGTTAAGCAGAGTATAATGGTTCTCTCACTTGCAAAATTTTCAGTCTGCATTTTCCAAACTATGTTCCAAGGGAAATTTTCTGTAGAGAACGGGCTCTGAGTTCAAACAAATTTGAAATACTTTGTCTCTATAGGGGTTTTTCTCCATTTATCAGGTACCTTAGTACATAAGAGCTAGCGAAGGGCCAACACTGAAATTTTGTTTGACACAGAATTTCCCAAGCACACTTGACCACAGAACCTAATCCTTTCTATTTCATGGGATACTTACTAAAACTTCTTGGTTTCTAATGTTTCTTGAAACACAATTTCAAAAACACAAATCTAAATGCTTCCATTAAAAAAAACCCCCAAAAAACAAATGCTTCCATTCAATACAGCCTGAATCTGGATTAGCTTATTTAATAGCAGCAATTTAAAACTATTAGCTCATGTGAAGCTCAAGGTCACCTACATTAACCAGATAGATTTCACATCTAGTGCCACCAAAATGAGGTCTCTAGGAACACGCACAATCAAGTTTTTAAAATAACAAAGTGGTAGTTTTAAATGATCATCCTGACTCTGTTTCATCTTTTTGGTCTGGGCACAGCTCCCAGTGGCATTCTGAATTTCAATTCTGCCATCTATGACAATGGTCCTCCCAGCACAAGCCACCTGCACATCTGGTCAGCCTGCCTTCCACGTCTTCTTCTGAACCACCGATAAAAGCTGAGGAAGTGAAGGGGACCCCAAGGGCAAAGTCTGAAGACTTTCATCTAAACATCTAGACACTCAGCTATCACAGAATTATCCCTCTGGTTTTATATTTGTATGACTCTTGAGAATGGTGATAAAGCTTGTGAATCCACCTCATGTTGCCGCTTTGCAATGCACACGTCATCATTTATCATGGGAGACTTTACCAAGCACTTCACCAAAATCCATAGGAGCTCCCTGATCCCTCAAACCAGAACACCTCTCAGAGACTCAACAGAAGCCATTGGTCCATAGATTCCTTGGAAAACCATTTTGCATACTTGTGATCAAGGCATTCTAAAAAATGCAAAGGTGTACTTTTCTAGATAATTTCCCTGGAATCCTTTTCCAAGTGGGGCAGAGGGAGGATTCTTAGATTCTACCATTTCTAGAATCTCTTCTTCTGGTTACTTCACCCAAATTAGGCTTTGAGAAACCATCTGGAAATCATGTCAAGCCCTGGGCTATTCAGTACCCTGGACCATAACTTGTTTGAGTTTGAAGTCTTGTTTCCATGTGAAGAAGAAGCAATCACATATGTTAGGCATAAAATACCCTTTAATTTTTTGGCTTAAAAAATTTTGAAGTTATTATCCTCCCTGGAGAAATCATGTTCCTCTCGCTCAAAATATGCTTATAAAATATTTTTATATGGACTTGAAGCTTTCCTAATAATGGATCCCAGGCCTCCTCCACAGACATCCACGCCTCCCATTGTCAGCCCTCCTAGGTGACGTGCTCCCTCCTCCCAGACTTTTGTAGGTTGATTGATTTAAATATGAATTTCTCAGAAAGAAACCTGGTGGGCTAGTCAATATTTAATATTTATTTGCCCTGTTGAGGAAGTGAGTACAGTTTCCCCACATGAAATGTATTTGCCAAGAAAGAAGTACTCAACTATTCTTCCCAAACCAAGAAAATAGCAGAAATCTTCATTTTCACTGTGATAGGTCTCTACACACTCAAACACAAAAAAACAAAACAAAGAACTAATTTCCAAGCTGCATAAATTCCTCTACTGCCTTGTCAGACCACATGACCCACCCTGGTGTAAGACATAAGACACAGCTGTTCAGGGGAGCGACACATGGCATAATGCACGTGTCCCACCAGGGAAAAGAGAAACGGACCCTGAGAACAGAACAGTTGTGTCCCCTGAGTCCTACAGCATGGACGACTCTGAAATACTCACCTGACCAGGTCAGGTCGTTCAGGATCTTCTGCAGCTGAGCGGCATTTATTTCTGGATTCTGGAGCGAAAGCAGAGGGACCGAGAATATCATCATTATGGGAGGCTCGTTAGAGGCACAGGGGCCACTGCTAGAGGGGGCTGGGCTGTCCTCTCCAGCGCCTGCTCAGCGTGACCCAGGGGCTGCTTCTGGGCACAGCCAGTGACATTGTCAGCGTGCACATCAGGAAAATGACTCGTCATGTCATGAAATCTGGAATTTCATAAGAACTTTTACAACAGTTTTTAACTGGGTGCCAAGTCCACAGCGCCTCAGCAGGGCAGGACTCCTGACAGACAGACCAAAAGGGAGCGGCGGCATCCAAACCTCATTCTACAGAAATGCTTCAGAAGTTGAGCAAGCAATGTGGTTTAGATTTTACTCCTAATACAATATCCTCAGCCAAGAGTCTAGATTTTAATTTTAGATTCATCAGAAACAACTCTTTACATTAATATTTAACTTTTAAATATATTCACAAAACACAAGGATCACAAATTTGAACTTACAAAACAGACACATATTCATAATATACAATTTTTTATATTGGGACTCTCTATGAGATTTCATTAGATAAAAGGACGGCAGCAGAAAGTGTTCGGAAACCCCTGGTGTTGAGGAAAACATTTATAAACAACACATATATGATTCTGACATATCCCCTCTGGCTACATGAAGCAAAGCACTGGAGGTGAATATGAGGGGGATGGGAGAACAGACAGGTTGTGAATTAAATCCAGAGTGTTACTAGCATGAGGAACTCATGCTCCTCCATTTTTAATGAAATCACTCAGATGTCAGACCCAGATTTCCAATGTGTTTCTTGCCCTTTTTCCAAATAGATCGCGTGTCCTGCAGGTCAGAGTGGCCTCCAGAGCCCTACACCCACCCCACTGGCCTCCTGATCTGGATCAGCCCAAGGAAAGATGTTCCCGGGGACCAGGTGTGCAGCCCTGGGCCCTCCACCCCACCCCCTCCCCAGAAAACCACCCAAGGGGTCTTTCTCCCTGGGCTTGTCATTGCCGTGCCTACTCCCACTCCCAATACTGATTTCTGACTCAACTCTACTCCATTTTCTCCTACAACTAATCCACAGAGCTTCTGAGAACAGATGCGTTTTACAGGAGCCTTCTGGAGAGGGCAACTCCAATCACTTGTCTAAAAACTTGAGGATTTGAATAGAATGTGGCAGTTTGGGCAATAGGTCACCTTACATCACAGTTTATACACAGGGTCAGGCAGATGCAAACATATCATTTGTGGAATCACATGCTTCACTTTGTCCCCTGCCCTGCCCACCTCTGGCTACCATGCCTTTTCAACTTACCTTTTCAAAGAATTTGAAGAATTCCTCATGCCCTTCAGTCTGGTCTACTATTTCCTAGAGGAACAGACACACAGGAAGACTCATTCACCTGGACATGTGAACTCCCATACACACACTCTTGTCTCATGGCCCCCAGGCTTCTAAAATCCAGAAGTTTGACCTTGAGCACTGTCTGACATTTTCTATCACAGCATTCACATGGCCCTCATTTCTCCAATTCTCGCTGCCTTTGGGGAAGTAGCAAAGAGTGAAGTGGGCAAGAGAAACACCAAACAGAGAGACGCAGAAGAAGGTAAAAGTATAACTCATGCACCTGGTGCTCGGGGCCCTCGGTGACAAGGGCCCGATTAGAAGGGCAGTTCTCTTGGTGCAAAAACAGCAGAACCTGGGTAAACTTAGGGCACAATAGACACTGTGGTGTGTGAGCCATGGAGTAGGGTCTGCAGCATCTGAGGACCTTCTCCCGAACCCTGAGCATGAGGGGAGAAACCCACCACCTTGCCTTGGTAGACAGTCCCAGCCACGTGGAATTCCACCCGACTACTTACCTTAGAGAAGACAGCTTTGTGGTTATGGCCAATTTCACTGAGGGAAAACAAAAGACAGGATTCCTTCTTGGGGATCATCTTGGGAATCTTTTGGCCAATGTTCTCCCTCCCCTGGAACTCTTCCAAGTTCCTGAGCTGATGCAGCATATGGGCTTGTCCAGCTCTCATGCCTCACCTCCCACTTCTCCTTGAAGTACAAGTTCAAGCACACAGCACAGCATACTGCTGTGACTCCTCACACACCCAGTGCTGTTTATCATCTTGTGCCTTTGCGCGTGCCAAGCCCTCTGCCCAGCACGCCCTTTGCTTCCCACCACCTTCATCTAACTGTTCGTCCTCATAGTTTATGATGCAGCAGTCTGACGGGGCAGTGATGCTTGAGATCAAATCAAACTATCAATGGCCAAAACAAAGGGGAAAACACTGGATTTTAAGCATCGAAGGGCTGCCATGTCAAAACAATCATAGGCCAAATGATGAGTGTAGCTGGGATGTCTGTGTATTGATTCACCTGTATATACCAGCACTGTCTGGGCCTGCTGGTCAATGACAGAGAGCCTCCCCTCATCTGAACCATCCCTGCGCATCTCTTAGGAATCACTGCCTCCCAGAAGCCACTCCTATTTTCCCCAGGACCATGGAAGTTTAGCTGATGTTCCTTCTTGATGCTCCTCTAACATCTGTGCATATAAATGCTTCTGCTGGACACAGCCTAACAAAAATGACTGCTTATGTGTCCTTGTCCTTCCCAGACCTTGAGCTTCTGGAGGGCAAGGGCCACGCCTGTGTCTGTTCTATCGTTTTCTCTGTAATACCCAGCAGAGCGTTCATGGGATAGTAGAAGGAGAGCAGGAGAAGGAAGGGAGGGATGTTCCCTGTGCAGAGAGCGGGCCTGCTCTCCTGCTCTCCTGATCCCCATCCGTACTGGCCACACAGACCCCAGTCGCTGCCTTTCCCACCTCACACTCCTTTTTGTCCCTGGCCCAAGGGGACCTCAACCTCCAGGACAGGCTGTGCCCTTACTGGAAGAAGTGCTTTCTGGAGAAGACTCTGAGGATGAACTCTGACTCCTGGCCAGCCTCCGATGTGCAGGGCATGATGAGATATGTTCCTGGCTCCAGCCACAGCTCCCGACTCACTTCTTTTTCTTGGAGAAATGCCTCAGGAAGGCTCAGGGGGTGATTTGTCAAGAAGAACTCATGGGGCAATTTCTTGTGGTCATCATAGATCTGTAGGTGACACACAGAAGGGCACAAGTTGAGGTCATTACCCCGGACTTGTGGCCAGGCCTGGGGCCCTTCGCCAGGAGCCCGGAGTAAGGTGGCCTCTTATTTGCCAAATCCACCCTGCCCCAGTGGAGGGTGGGATAAAGGAGTAGGGAACCGGAAGATGAAAACAGAACATGTCAGGAGTGGGCACTTTCACTGGAACCTGATGTGGGGCCAGACAAACACTTGGTCAATTGATTTGCCATTATGTTGAAAACAACATCGTATACAGGATGATGTGAGGAATGCCACTATGCCTGTCTTCTCTAAGTTAGGTCATCTTCCCAAAGTCACCCAGCTGGTAAGAGTCCTGTCCAGGACTGGAATTCAGGGAAGCTGAGCTCCAGGGCCCACGTTCTTCACATGTCCTGATTCTGCACTTTCAAAGTTGAGTATGACATGGTTATGGTGGGAGGACCCACCAACCACCTCCCCACCAACATCACAACAGCTACATAGAGATCAGCTGGACAGTCCATAGCTGTTTTTCCATGTCAGGGAAAACAGCCTTGTAAGGGAGAAAGAGGCCTGGACAAGAGCTCAGGAGGCACGAATCAGGGCTCTAGTTCTCGCATTGCCTGGGCTTGTGATTTATTTTATCTTATAGTCATATACCCTCTTCCTTTCTCTCTCTCTCTAACTCTCCCTCCATCCCTTCACCCCTCCCTCCTTTACTTCTCTCTCTTTATTTTTCTCTCTTGCTCCCTCTTCTCTTTGCCCTCACTCAAAGCTGTGAAGGAAGAGGAGGTCCATATGGAGAATCCTTTCTTGGTGTATATACAGCTGTTAACAAAGACACTACCCACCCACACAAAGATGTATTTCACAGATTCCACTCAGGGCTAGGGAAACAAAATTTATCTCCTGATGCCACGTGCTTTTTTTAAATCAGACGATGAGAACTAGGGTATCATCTGGCTGCCATCTTTGCCTTGGCTGCTAGGAATCTCAGAACTAAATTTTACAATCAGCCAACATTCGCTGACCTAGGTTTAGTTTTCCTGGTAGAATCAACTGCCTACTTATCCCTTGTGTATTTATTACTTTCTTCCTGTTTAAATTTTTAACTGGCTTGTAGTTTTGTTCTGTTTAGAAATAGTCCTGATGTAAATAATTTTTTTTAATTAATAGGCAACTTTGGGATTACTCAGTGTTCCCACAGGAGGAAAAAACCAACACCGACCCAAGACACCCAATTCCTTTTATAAAAATCCTTTTATACTGCTTAGTCCAATCTGAGAAAATTAAGATTTTTAGTCCTATTATCTTCGGGAGACAAAATAACAGCTGCCACCCTGCAGGTTGGGAGGCCTCCTGCCTTCTTAACTGATCCTTCTAGGCTATACTTCAGGGACTGCACCCAAAGTACAGAGTTTCTGCCCTGTTTTCCAATCCCTTGTCCCTTGTCCCCAAGGCAGTGGGCTGCATGGTCTTCTCCTGTCTCATATCTTATAGATCTATTTTATTATGGGTCTCATAACTCAGGCAAGGTTGTGATTTATCAGCTTTCCTATACTGTGACAGTTTCTGATATTAGCCCTAGGTATTTACCTAGGGATTTAATAAATTCTAAGATTTATTGGTTCTACACCAGGCTCAGAGACCTCCTTATAGAGGAATAAGGGTTTTTGGGGGGTCCTTGGATAAAAGACCCCCCAAAACAACAAAACCCCACAGAAGCTCTTTACTTCCACACACGTAGGCAGTAACATTGTCAGACATTCTCCGAGCTCCTTGTGAAATGCTGCTGTGGTCAAACTGAACCTCACAGTGGCTTGGCCACACGTGGCGTCACTCCAAACCAGGGCCAGCTGGTCAAGTTGGGAACTCACCTGGTTCATCTGAAAAACAGAGAGAGAAGAGAGAGACTTCATTAGTCGGTGAATATGCTCTTTCACAAGCTCAAACTCTAATGGAGGCTGATAGACAAGAAGACTTCCCAGAGACCCCTTCCTCTCCCACGAGACCTTCGGCCCCAGTCAATGACTTTTTAATCCATCATCAGGAATTCTGGAAAAGGGTGAAGTAAGGCAGCCGTGGCTTCTTTGGAGAGAAAATGGAAACTAGTATTGATTGTAAGCTGTGTGCTGGGCACAGTGAAAAGCACTGCCATACAATCTTTCACTCTGCTCTTTGCATAAATATCATTGTCCCCATTTTACGGATGAAGAAGCTGATGTTCAATTCAAGGAGATGCCTTGGTCTATATCACATATTCCTAAAGGACAGAGCCAGGATTTGCACCCAGGTCTGTGGACAGACAGAGGACAGGGAACAGGAAGAAAGGACAGCCGCTGGAGCCTCCGTGTGAGGCTGTGTGCCCCAGAGCCCCCCCGGCCCTACCCTGAAGACGTAGAAGCCGATGGCAAGGAGGGGCTTCCGGTTGCGGTGCCTGTGCCTGGGCTTCTGGATCAGGGACACCAGCACGCTGCAGGGCATCAGGAACGCCCTGCTCTCCTTTGGCCTCCAGACAGACAGCAGGAACTGCGGGTTCTTCCAAAATGTGTCTCGGGCTGGACACAGCAAAATGAGACAGGTCCTTGGTTCCCCTAGCATCCCGTTCCCCAAACCACGGAGAGGTCACAGACCCAGGGTGAGGTTCATCAGGACAGAGCTGGGGCCTCTTCTGCCTCAGCTTATCCACCCTCCCCCCTCACCGCCACCACACAGGCTTTCTACAGACACACGGACCAAGAGGTATTCTCACCGCCGCAGCCCCTTTGCCCAGCACAGTGCCAGGCACAGACTCCGTGCCCTATGAACATTTGCTGCCTACGTGGCTACATTGACTAACTGAGGAGAACATGCCCATGAGCCCAAGGGGATCTGCACTTTAAGGAACCAAGCCTCAGCTTAAGGGCAGTTTTGGCTTTGGAGGAACACTCCAGTGGGACGGATGCCAGAGTTCGGGCCACCGCGGCCCACTGCAGTCGTGCCTACAGGCCTTTCCTTCCGAAGGGACCTCTCACTGCCTCTGTTGTGGAGAAAGGGACACAGTCACCAAATCCTCCATTCTGAGAATTTAGATATGTTTGTCTTCTGTAAGGGAGGACCCCGTAGGTAAGGAGGGCCCGATAACATGATGTAGTTGCTCTTTCAGTCCTGCCTGGTAAGGGGTGGTTACTTCAACCTATCGATCACCTTGTCCTCAAAGCAGAACAAGATGTAACCCACCCTTTTACCATGTGTGCGTGTCTGTGGCCTCCTGGTACTAATTAGGAAAAGGCGCCCTCTGGAAGGATGCGGCCCCAACAGGCTGGCAGCTTGACTGAGATTCCCATGCCTTTGTGCCAATTAGGACCAAAGGTGCCCCATCTTCCATGCATCTCACCGTGGTGCAAGTTCACGGGGCCGCCAGCCGTGGTCCCCTTCTCCCATCGCCCCTCCTGCATGGTGCATGACCACTTCTGGCCCACCTCATGACTCATCAGGCCCGGGGTCAGTTTACAGATGACCAGAAGCTTGAAATGTGTTTTAAAGTCCTTAAGCGTCATCCTGGAGAGGAAGAAGGAGCAATACAAAGATAAGTGAGGTGATGTCTAGTTAGCAGGACCTAAGAGGGGGCTGGAACAAGCAGCGGGCCCTCTCCCAGACCCGGCCCCGACGCTGCACGTCCGTGTGCAGAGCTGAGCAGGCCTTGGACTTGAGAGTGTGGCTTGCTAGGCCAGGGGGAGGGGCCTGCTCAAGTTGGTAGATCTACCAACAAACCCCTTCCTGTGTCTGGAGGTAGCCTCATACAACAGTTGCCTGAGAAGAGTGTTCCTCCTGGTTTGCTGGTTGCACTGATAAAGCTGAATTGAGGCATTTACAACCAGTCAATTGATTTATAGGTGTTCACGAATCAGTTCTCATTCATTAATTGATAAAAATCTTCACTCGTTCTTGCTAACTTTGCAATCAAGGCATGCACTTTGAGCTGTCCGGTGCTTGGTTTACTTATCTGTAGTGTGGAAATAATGATATTTACAGGGCTCTTGAGTTTGGCAACTACTTCAAAAGAGAGAGAGGGCTGCATGCAGCAGTCTCAAAACGATGGGTCATGGAGAAGAGGAATCAGGGGCACAGGGTGGAAATTAATAGTAAGGGTGAAAAGCAAAGGGGGAGGGAAACAGTGGGTCTCATGTCAGACACCCAGAAGCAGCATCAGCTCAGGGCATTTGGGTGCCCTCTCATAATAAGAGGTGAGTGGCTTTGGAGTCAGTGGGAGTAGTGCGATTCTGCGCTGGAGGACACAGGTGAGGTGGCTTAGAGCTTGGCAAGACCTTGCAGTTCCATCTTTCCTCATCTCCTCTTTAGGCCAGGAAAGGCACCACCGTTGGATGGAGCGTACAGAGTGACGCAAGAGCAGGTGGAAGTCGGGAGGAGGCGGCCACCCCGAACCCTGCTCTGAGCGCCTGCTGAGCCCCATGCTGGTGGTCACTGCTCTTGTCAGAGACTGTGGCTGTTCCTTTGCAGGGGCTGTTTGCCCTGCTAGACTGTGAGCCCCTAAAGGATCTTCTTGATCACTGCGTCAGAGATGCCTGGCATACATGAGGAACCCCATAAATATTTGCTGGATGTATGAGCAAATATAAGCCAGGGCATTTGTCCCACATCCTTGAGTCAAATACCAAAATTCTCCATCATTATCTTTTCTCAGCAGCACAATCTTCTCCTTGGGGCTCAGGAGGTCCCATGTACTTGAGCTGAAAACAGAACAGAAATGCTGTCATGGGGAATGAAAGGGTTGTGGAGGATGCGCGAGAAATTCTTCAGTGAATGCTCTATAGCATTGTTATGTATTCTCTTCATGCTGCCTTTGCAGACAACTAAATCTCACAATCTCTATTGTAAAAGCAACATGTAACATTAATTCATCATTCATTATTAGCCAAAATCTGGCCTAGGCTTATGATGGCCTTTATTTCAATCAAGGACAACAACCTTGCAAGGTAGGAATTTTTATTGCCATTTTAGAGATGAGGAGACTGAGGTTAAAAGAGATGAAGTCCCTTGCCTGAAGTTACAAAGCTATGAAATGTCAGAGGCAGCATTTGAACCTATGTTGGAATTACTTATTGTCAAAGTCCATCATTTCGGACTTATATTTCTGGCCATGAAGGATCAGGCTTTTCTGTATCACTTTCATACACCATAAGCAACTGGGACCAAATATAAGAAACAACAGTTTTCACACATTAGAGAGCAGGCAGCACAGGACTGAGACCCCAAGAGGAGGGGGACAAAGAAAGGGAGCCCTAACATTGCCTGGACTCCTGCCTGAAACTAATTCCTGGGTGTCGATGCAGTGAAGTGGAACCCAGAAGGAACCTCACAGTCTCGACAAGTTTGGAAACTGAGTCCCGCGTACAGGGAGGCCACAGCAGCTAGAATTGGCCAGGGAAAGAGCCTGAGAAAAGGAGGCTACATAAAGAAGGAACTCTGGAGGACTTCACTGGGGCTCCCTTGAGTCTCTGGCTGAAATCAAATCTGTGCATACATAAAGTAAAACCCCACAAAACTAAACTATACACAGAAGAATTTCCAGAGTTGGCACGGGGCTGGGGATCATTTGAATTCCCACCAGCCAGAGTTGAAAGATCTTGTTGACAACATGGGGTCTTCAGTAGAGATCCCAGAGGGTGAACATCTTAATAGTGGGGTCAAATTATTCCTGACATAAAGTTTTCTCTAGCTCTGCCTTAAAAGTGCTTTACAACAAAACTCCGAAGTATCAGAAATTGTCCCTAATTTAACCGCTTGCCAGAAAAAGCCCAACATTCATTAAAGGAATGCAACAAAATTAAGCACTGAGAAGCTTAAATTTACAATGTCCAGCATCCAATAAAAGTTTACTAGGCATCTAAAAAAGTAGAAAAGGGGATCCATGACCCAGAATAGAAACAACTGGGGGGAACAGACCTAGAAATGAGAGAGATGATGGAATTAGCAAAGAAGGACATTTAAACAGCTATTATAACCCATTCAATATTCTCAAGGTTATAGAAAGAACTGGGGACATAAAGAGGAGAGAAGGAGAAGATATTCTCAAATGGAATCTCTGGAATTAGGAAATGCAATATCCAAAATGAAATGATACACTGGATGAGATTAACAGCAGATAAATCTCTGTGGATTAAAGGCCCATCATTTTATTTAACCTTGCCCAGGATCACACAACTTACAAAACTAATTTAATTTCTCACCTATCTCTAATGTAAGTAATTGTTCTTCTATGAAACAAACTAACACGAACATCATGGTGCTCTGTTTTAGTACCACTTTAAAATTTATATATATCTTTGGATGCCATTTTTTACATAGACCCAGGTCCTCTGACAATTCTTTTAATTCATGTGCAACAAATCAAGCACAGTACATCCTATGAGGAGTGGAATATAACTTATTTTTCTGTTCCTTCATTTCTTCATCTATAAAACTAATTAAGTGATAATGTTTCTATACTTTAAAGCGTTATACAGAGCCCAGTATTATAGATCTTCATGCAAGAAGGTGAAGGACTTTGCTGCTGGCATCCCTTTTGGCCTGTGCCCTCCAGCCGGTCTGTAGTCTGTAAATCCCACACCCCTCTAGGGCTGTCTATAGGTAGAAGCCACCTAAGGCCACTAAATGAAACCAGAACGCAGGGGCCAATGGGATCTGTCTACCTCTGACTCAGCAAGTCCAAGAGTGGCCTGAACCACGCCGGGAAAGGGACACTGGATGACTAGGGAGCAAGGACTAGGCGGAAGCCTGTTCTGAGACTTTATAATTCACCTAGTCTAAGCCCCAGTTCCTTCATCACTAAAATGGGGATAAGACTACCCGCTTTATAATTGCGTTATTTGGAGGATTAAATGAGATTAAAATCCAAAGGACTTAGCACAGTGCTGGCGAACTCTTAACGAACATTGAACTTTAATTACTATAATGAATGAGAAAACAATCTATATATCATTAACCATTTTATACATGTGAGAGATTGACCATCACACTCTGAAAACTTCCCTGATCCAGCCTGAGACCCAAGGAAGAAGACCCTGAGTCTGTGTGCAGATGGCAACCTCCTTTGTGGGCCTCGCCTGCCCCTTCCTCACCCCTCCCAGCCAGTCCCAGAAGCGCACCTGTCACTCCAGTCTCCTTTCCATTCCACCTTCCCCCAAGGGTTCCGCAGCTTGACGAGATATTCAGGTGCATGGTTGCAGGTCACCTGTGCCGAATGAGAAGCAGTTTAGGTGGCTGGGCCCAGTGCCAACTGCAAGTGTTACAAGATACCTGGGTGAGACTCATGCCTGCAGATGAGACTTCGAACCGGAAGATCAAAGGCCCTGAGGGTTGGCAGAGGAGAAAATGGCTCTGCTGCTTACAAGCTATGAGACATAAAGCAAGTAACTTAACCTCTCTATGGCTGTTTCCTAATATGTAAAATGAAGCTAATAGTCACATCTGCTATAGTGGATTGAACAGCAGCCCACCAGAACATATGTCTACCCAGAATCTGTCAATGGGATCCTATTTGTAAAAAGGGTCTTTGAGGGTGTAATTAAGAATTTCGACATGAAATCATCCTGGATTCGGGTAGGCCCTAAATCCAATGACAAGAGAAAAGAAGGGAAGAAGACACAGAGGAAAAGGCCATATGGAGATGGAAGCAAAGATTGGAGCTATGCTTTCCTAGCAGAGACTTGCTGGAAGCCACCACTAACCCTTAGAGGCAAGGAAGCATTCTTCCCTAGAGCCTTCGGAGGGAATGAGGCCCTAATGACATCTTTTTTTTTTTTAATCTTCACCCGAGGACAGGCTTATTGATTTTAGAGAGAAGGGAAGGGAGGGAGAGAGAGAGGGAAAGAAACATTGATATGAGAGAGAAATATCAGTTACCTCCCATATGCACCCTAACCAGGAAGTGAACTTGAAACCTAGGAGTGTGACCTGACTGAGAATTGAACCCTCAACCTTTTGGTTTACAGGACAATGTTCCAACCAACTAAGCCACACCAGCCAGAGCGCTAATAACATCTTGATTTCAGACTCTGGCCTTTAGAGCTGTGACAAAATAAATTTCTGTTGTCATGGCAGCCCTAGGACACTAATACACCTACTCACAAGGTTGTTGTAAGGATTACGTTAATGTTTGTAAACAGGACAGTATTTAACACATAGTAAGTGCTAAATTTTGTCAAATATTGTTACATAAATGTATAACAAGTATAAACTCATGAATATTAACAAATATAAATTTTTCTAAATAAATGTGAAAATAAATGTAAAGTTCTTGTTACCCACACAAAAATGATTGGTGGATTTCTGGGAGGAGGAAGAATCAGTTTTGAGTTGAGTTCAAAAAATTTGAAACAGAATTAAAGGGAATTGGAGGACTTTTGGTAAGTGAGGCTTTCTAGAGAATATCCAAGGTTCTTTAAGATTGAACCTACTGATTTCTTATCTCCACACTGCATACACTCTTCCCTCAGCCAGGAATGCCCTTTTTTCCTCATACAAATTTACCACCTTTCAGAGACCAGCTCAATGTCACCTCCTCTAGAAGCCTTTTCTGACTTCCCTCCAACCCAACCAGGTGAATGTCTCCCCTCCGACCTCTGAACCCCTCAGGCCTTTGACCTATGCCTTCTTCTCTCAGTTTCTACTTTCTTCCTTGTCACTTTCAGGTATGGTTTGTCTCCATACTTGATGGGGAGCTCTCTGTAGGTGGGGTCCCTGTCTGATCCCTCTTTCTCTCAGTGCTTAGTAGAGCTCAAAGGTAAACAGCAATGGAAGGAAACTGGGAAACTTGAAAAAGAGCAAGGGAGAAAGAAGCAGGCCTTTGGGAGGGAAGAGACAGCTATAAAGGCAAACATGGGAGCCCAGAAGGAAGTGAAGCTCAAGGAAGGTTGTGAGGTACGGCGAGGACAGGTGGCCAGCTGGCCGGGGCTTCCCCATGTAAAGAGAGGTGGGGATGATGCAGTGATGGTGGCCAAGGCCGGACCCCCCTCTTCACCCCAGATAATATGTCCAGAGGTACAGGGAGCCCCACCAGGTTTGTCAGGCCCTGGAGGACTCCCAGAGAATTTACCCCCAGACTAGACACAGACAATAACATTCACCAAGAGGACCCCAAGCCTTGGTGAACAGCCCTAGGAGAGAAGGGGAGGCTGAAAGGTAACAGAAGGGCATGGTTCCACCCACCTTCCAGATCCTTATGAGCGTATAGGCATGGCCGTCCACCAGTCCGTTCTCCAGCACCCTCTCGCTCTGTACGGGCAAGAGAGCACCTGTCAGTCCTAATGGGTGCGGCTTATCCAGGAGTCATGGGGGCCGGTTTGGCTGAAGCAGGGGTTATAGGGGGTGGGGCTGGAAGAGACCCACACGGTACTGCATTACCTGACAGTTTCCACAGCTCTTCAGCACCTGCAGTCTCATGTGAGCCTTTAAGGCAGGGTGCCACGCTACAGTGATTATAACCACTTTGCAGAGGACAAACTCAGATTTAGAGCCACTAAATGGTTGTGTAAGGTGACAAGGTGACACAATGGTCATTAGCAGAGACACAGCTGAACTGAGGACTCCCTGTTCCAGTTCCATGTTCTTGGTTGTTATTAAAATTAGATAGCAAGGACTAGCCGTGCTAGGAAAATACCTTACATGTCGTGGACACTTAACTGTCAGCCCCCTTCTCTGTACATTCCCTTGTCCTCTGCCCCAAGGCTGCTCTGGTTAAACCTAGGACTGTAGGTGCAGGGGTGTGGGGAAGGCTTGGGGCTCAGAATGAGGTGAAAACAGTGACCGGTCCAGAGAACGGCAGCAGAGAAGAAGGACATCCAGCCAGCGCACAGCCCAGTCTCACCCCTTCATGGGTCTGGCAGCCGATAAGCGTTTTGCTATAGGTGGCCCGGGTTAGGATGTCCCAGAGGTTTCCAGGGGCTTCTGCCAGGTTGATGGTGACTGTCACCCCACCGGTGAAATCTAACAAGGCATCAGATACTTGTCCACGCTGCAAGTCTTCATAGGAGCCACAGAGCCTGCCCAGGAAAGAAGTAAATATAGGGAGAGGAAAAGGGGTATTTATCCTGCAGCCCAGGATGGTTTAAAGGAGCCTTGCTTGGCTATTCTCTGGGCATGTGTCTGCTACCCCTTCCTTCCATCCCAGGGCAAAGGAGAAAATATGTGCTCACAGTTCTTATCCATGTTAACAAACGTATCCATTAGGGCAAGCAAAATCCCTGAAAACTTGTTCAGATGGGGTGACCCCCTACACAAAAGGCTCTGGATACGTCCATTGTATATTCGCTGAGTCATGCCCTAGTATATCTCACTTCATAAACTTTACCTGCCTCCTCTTGCCCTCCCTCAACATTGATAGAGAGACAGAGACAGGACAGTGGGAGAGGGAGGAAGGGAAAGGAAAAGATCTCTCATGGCTGTCTTACTTCGCATAGGCCTTTTCCAGAAGAGCTCCCCAGAACAAGTTCTTGTAGGTGGAACAGACAAAGACCAGCTGGCCAGCTTCATCCACAGGCAGTCGGTCATCTATCACCACAGGCACCCATTTGCCAAAGTGCCAGAACTGGGAGGAGAGAGGGCCCATTGGTGAGTGAAGATTACGGTGGAGCATGGTCAGCCAAGGGAGCAAAGGCATGACTCTTCCAAGAACTTTCTTTCTTATACCCCCAACCCAGACTGGGGCACCAGGAGGACACTCACCCAGAACTGGAAGATGCCAGCATAATTCTCGGTGAAACTCTGATTCAAGGGAACAACCCGGCTCAGGATGTCCTGGTGCAAAGTCAGAGCTTGCAAAGCAGCCAAGAACCAGCAGTCACCTAAGTCAGACAGCACACAGTATCTGCATGGATGTACTGCACATGTGCACACATTCTCCAGGTGTCTGCATGGATATACTGAGGATTTATTGCATGCAAGAAATGCTGGGTATCAATTGCTATCCATTCTGGGCTTGTAGCCTAGTTTAGAACAAGAGAATTATATACTGGGGAGGAAAAGGGTGATGGAGTAAAGTGTGGTGGGTAGGGTACATTGGCTGGAATCCAGCCTTGACAAGAATTGAGCCATATTCCTGGGCCAGCTTTTAGCTCCCCAAATGCTCCATCCTCAGGAACTTGGACCCACACAAAACCAAGCTTTTCTAATTCCTGTCTCTGTAACTGATTTATGTTTTTCTAGGAAAACCTCAATCCTTTGGACTCCATTTCCCTGTCTGTAAAAACAGATATTACTAAACATGTGCCTTCCTTCATGGCCAAGGCTTATTTATATTACTCTAAAAAGGAAGTTGAGAAGAGGCCTTCTTGGACCCTAATCTGGGCCATCTAGTGACAGGTGTGCCAAGAAGGACTCATTACAGGGACTAAAGTAGAATGAGCACATTTTCCCAAAATAAGATTTAGACCAAGGTAAGACTTAGACTCATGATGAAGATTACCATTAGGCAAGTTTTGACATTCCCATGCATCCTGACAGGACCAGTTGTTATCATTTTCCCAGCAAAGGACACAGCTAGAGTTCAGGTGGCCATTTCCCCCAGTGGAATCTCTTGATTTCCCCCCCTCTTTCTTCTTTGGCCCAGCCAGACTCGGAGCTGCCAGGTGTGTGTCTCAGGGGCTGTGCAGACTTACCTAACAATCCCTGGCACAGATCCAGCCTTTTGGCGTTGACAGAATAGAAGTGGGGGTTGCTGTGCAGTTCCTGCAGGGACAGATAGAATTGTCCTTCTGACCAAGAAGCTGCTCCTGAAGCTACAGTGACCATTGGGTCCCATACTCCCAAATTGGACTTATGGGGACATTGATATAGAATAAATGTATGTAGATGTAGATGTAGATGTAGATGTAGAATCAGGGCTGTCCCAGAAAATCCAGCATACAGATTCTGTCCATTGTATTTCTCATTCCTTAAAGCTCGTATAAGTCAGGTCCTGGAGAATTCTGTGTAGATACTGAGAAATAGCACTTGTACCAAAAAATGCCCTTTCTTGTGGTTCCATTAAAAGTAGAAGTACCTCTTATAGGGGATACTCTCAGTTTTCCTAGAGATCTTCCCATTGTTATTCTCCCCCTACTCCTCCTCCCTGCCCCGAATCCCAGCATGATGGCCTCTTTGGCTTTCTGTGCTGACAAGTGGGCTGGGATGGGGTGGGGCACAGGGAGAGGGGCTGTTCTCTGCTCCATGGCCTGCACCAAATCCCTCAGTTTTTACACGGGCACGGTTCACTCCAGCTCAGGTGTGTGAAAACTGTGTCAATAGTTCCCAAGATTTTCTGGAAGAAGTAAAATCATGACTGCCCTCTAGTTCAGGAGGCACCCTTGGGAATTTTACACATAGTAGGGACTTAACGAGTCTGACTTTGATGGTCATGGCTGAGTAGGGAACACAAAAGGGGAGAATTGGGTTGATTTTACTGTGTTCTGGAATCTGGCATGTAAATCAAGTTTGGGGGAGATGAATTTCTTTTGAACACATTGAAGAGTTGCCTTTGAAAGGAATTGTTGATGCATTTTGAAGTGGAGAATACTTGTGTAAAGTGATTAACAGCTTCTTAATTTGTGGTTTCATGAGCCTGATTTTGGGTGAGTGGGGTGTGAAATGTTACAATTTGTCCCTCCGGCAGGTGGCATTGGCTGTGGCTCAGGGTGCCTTGCTGCCTCAGATGAAGCTCAACAGTACCTTAACATATTTTTGGCTTCAGCTGCTCTGTGTATTTCGGGCCTGGGGGCTGGCAGGAGCTACACCCTCCCAGGATCATCCCTGGTTCTTCCTGGAAAAGGGGGATGTGGGGATTCACCCAGTTTCCTCCTTATGGGGACCAATGAGAGTAAGACCGGATATCTGAAAGCCCTGAGCCCTCGGAAGGAAGGCCTGGGTTGACACATTTTGCATGTGTGGTTTGGAAGCCCCCTTCCCAGCCCCTTACCGGTGGCCTCCTCCACTGCAGGCGGGGCGGCAGCTTCTGCAGCAGGGGCCCGCTGCCGATGGAGCTCAGGGTGGCCGGGAAGCTGCTGTCTTCAAAGAGGCAGCCGTCCCTCAGGCACTTCTCACGCAGGGCCTCATAGTCCTGCCTGGGGAGCTGTGAAGGGTCCTCCATCAGGTTCTTCTCCCCTAGCTTGCCTCGGCCTCGCCATGGTAGCCACAGAGACATAGCAAGATGTGGATGCAGTCTTCCTGGAGGGTCTCTGTTGCTCCGGAAATGGAAGGATGATGTTCAGTTTACTTACTTCTTATGGATGCTTTGGCATTCCCACAGAGAGGAGGGGGGAGATGGAGAGAATATGAGAAAGAGAGATTAGCCTGCAAAAATGAAACAAGATGTATATGCACTAGAAGCAGCCTGCAAACATGTCTGTACCAAGATGTACTCCTATACATTGCAGGGGTGATCCGAAGGTCCTCTCTATTTGTCAAGATCTTGCCTATCCCCCAAAGCCCTCCTCCAGGAAGCCTTCCTTGGGTGCCCAGCCTTCAATGACTCCCCCTCATCCTGATTATCTGTTGATTTGCCACTTTCCTCATAGAACACCCTACTACTTACACCTTATCACTAGTGAAGGACCTGTATGCTTTTATTTCCAATTTGTCACAAAAAATTTAATGAAAAGGAAAATGAAATTTAAAAATAATATACAAAAGACAAGCCCTTTTTTAAAAAAGTCAGATTCAACAAAAGTAAAACTATCAGTCAGTTGCTATAAAACATTCTGAAAACTTAACCCTTAGTTCCGTCCTTAGCTCTCAGCACTGCCAGTGACCAGTTTGTGGAATGGCCCTACCCTCTGACCCCATGTGGGCTCTGCACTGAGTGAGTCATAAACTGAACGCTCCTCTGTCTAATACTGGCTGTTTATCCCCATTGGGTTAACGCTGGTGGAATGCTCTGTCTCACACCCTTACTTCCCTCTGATGCGAGGATTCTAGCCGCTCTCAGTTGTCACAGGCACAAACATACTTCGGGGGGAAGACCCATCACTGTCCTAACCCTGGTTACAGGGATTCAAAAGCTGTTACTCAGGTCTGTGTTTTCCCCTGAGTTTTTCTTCTTAATATAGATGATCAGGCAAAGCTTCCTCCAGCCTACCCCTCTTTCTTTCTCAACAAGCGTCTTCTACCCCATTTACATTTGTAAACAAATGTGAGTTCTCATTATGAGCAAGGTTTTATTCTTTTGTCCCTTCAAGCCTCAGCAGCAGTCATTCACTGCTTGGGACATGATGTGTGATAGCAGGTCCCTTAGCTTCCGAACCTGACCCAGGCTCATGCCCTCCTTACCAAGCCCAGGGTTGCACTTGGATTCTTCTCTGACCCTGAAGACATTTCGTTGTATCTCATGACCAGCCTTGGTGCCTCATGAGGCTCAAAGGACAAAATGCCCACTGTAAGGCCACCTTTCAGAATGAGGCCACACACACAAGTGTTATCTTCTTTTTATAAGTATTCCCAAGTCACCTTAAGAAGGATCTAGACCCAGATGTGTATGGTTGGCAGGTCTTGCACGTCTTCTGTATGTTACAAACATCTGGGAGTTGAAATTAGCTCCCTCCCAGACTGTCACAGCCCTCTGCAAAGGACCAGATGGCTCTTGGCCATATTTGGAAATTCACTTTAACTGTTCTACGTGAACTATGTTGAAGCAGGCCCATAAAATAAGGCTATGTAAATGAAGAGGGGAAAGCTACCTGGGGCACAAGATATTAGAGTGTGCAGCCTGAAGTGACGCTGCCTGTGTCTGCAAGTCCTTCCCTTGTCCTCCAGAGCGGGTCAAGGCTCCTCGGTCATGTTCTTCATGTCGGGATTCATTTGCACTCGGCAAAGAGAGGAGCTGAGCCTCAATCTATACTTTTTCTGTGCTGGCTTCACTTGCCTTGGCCACAGTGTTAGGGGCTAGGGAGAGCTTTGCGGTGGAGAGATGATGAGGGGTCGGCAGGCCTCGGGCTCCTGCTCCAGAGCGGGGCTTTGGGTACCAGCTGGCTGGGGAACACTGGGAGGCATCACCAGGCAAGACCCCCGAGCCTGTTCCATGCCTTGAGTCCCTGCCCTGATGTTCAGTTCATTCAGATATTTACTGAACACCTACTACGTGCTGGACACTGGGTCCATGCTAGACACCTGGCCCTTGGTCCACCTAAAAAGGGTAGAGGGGGGTACTCTGGAAAGGAAACAAAAACATAAGAACCATGTCCTCGTTCACAGGTGCTATGAACCTGTAACATCCTCCTAGGGATGATTGATTTCCAGAGAACTCTGGCATCTTGCCACAAACCACTAAGTTGTCTGAGGTAAAATTGAAATAGAAACCTAAGCTCCTGGCACAATGGCTCTGTCTGTATGATAAAAAGCATCAGATTGAAAAAGTGATCAATTCCATGTTCTTGACAGTTGGAACAAAAGAACGAGACTAACTATGGGTCCTGCCTGATTTATCTTGGGTAGGGACTGTACTTCTTCTCTGTAATCGGTGGTGCGTCATGGTCACGGAGCGCTACATTTACAGTCAGGAAACTCAGGAGGTGGCCAGGGTTGCCACTCTTACCCATGTGACCATGGGCAGACCCCTTACCCTCTCTAAGCTGGTTTCCTTACCTGTAAAATGGAGATGACACATGCTGTGTCTATTGTCAGGACTCAAAAGAGATAATTATGTGAAGTGACTTGAAAAAACTCTAAAGCGAGGGTTGACAAACTATGGTCCCTGGGACAAACCTGGCTCACTACTGGA